TTGGTGGGAAATGGTACCAATTTGAATCCCCCAGTCTGGGATCCCTGGGCCCAGGATTGAGAGGGCAGTGGAGGGTGGGTATGCAGTGGGAAAAGAGGATGTAAATGGGAAACCTCCCCCTTTTCTCTCCTGGTTATCCAAATTCAAAATCCAAGAGCAAGAATAACAGGTGAGCTTAGCACTCACTCAGTGAAGAAGAGAGTTGGGCAAAGAGGTATCCTGAGAGTGGTCACTTCTCTGGTTTCTACTCCTTTCCTGGAGCCACCTCATGCCATCACCACCTATAGTGGGAGCTTGGCAACTAGTAGATGCTGGGTCTTGGATCCAATACAGGTGTTGTCTAACCATCAGTCTTAGGTGGCCCCAAGCAGAGAGTTGTCTGGCTCAGATCTGTCCTCTCTTCCATCCAGCTGGATTAGGACTCTGATGCTTTAGATGGTAGATGTGAGCAGTAGACTAATTTTATCATTTTATCTGACTGGAACTCAGCAGGAAACCAACACTAGCAATTGTGTAGCTCTTCCAGTGTGGCTCTGGGCCTTGGGAGGCCAGTGGGATGCTGTGGTTTCTCTTCTTAAGAGTGTGATGGTCTCTTTCCTCCAGAAAGGATCGAACTTTAGTACCTAATCAGTACACTTTGGGCTTCTGGGGTCCAGAGAAGGAAAAGGTATCTCAAAAGGAAGACAGTACAAGTTCTGTCTTGTGTTCTTCTGTTTGCTTTCTGAAACTATATTCTTTTTATTTCTGAAGTCCTTGAGTTTTAACAGAGTTCATGACACATAATAGCAGATCTCTAGAAATGGCTTGTAAAGCAGGCATGGAGCTTTGTTCCTGGTAACCACTAGAGAGAGCTGACAGGAAGGAAATCAAAGGACCTTCTGAAGCAAAGCCTCCTTTATTGCAAAAGTTAAGTTTCTAGTCCTTTTCTTTGAATTTCTGTTCTCTCTTCTGTTGTTGTTGTTAAGTGCTGTCAAGTCAGTTCCAATTCATAGCAACCCTAATATAGCATTTTTGAGGAGCAGCTGGTGAGTTTGAACCACTAATCTGTGGTTCAAACCAACCATGCAGTCTAGTACTTATCCTACAGTGCAACACCAAGACTCTATCTACTACAGTTCAGCTTATTAGAATTTAAGAACCTACCTCAAAGACTCTGGTTCCAGCAAGCACCTACCCTATCTAGCCACCAGCTGTCAAATACTGGAGTCTCTTGGGGCACCTATAACCTTGTATGCTGCTGTGGAGAAGTTGTAGAGAGCTCTGACTGCCTTTTCAGACATAAAAAGGCTCTTTAGGAGAGCATATGATCTTACAAATTGTGGGATTTAACAGTTATGCAATTTAATGATCTTGGGTGATCAAACACAGACTGGAGCCTTAAGGCTGCTGGGGGAGGTACTGAGGAGGCAGCAGACCTTAGGTGGGAGAGCCTGGGGCCAGGCAGTGTTAGAGTAATTAGTCTTAGAAGGAGATGAGAAGGAAGGGTGTCTGACACTGAATGGGGGGGGGGGGAATGATAGTATCCAAAAGCTGGGTGGTAAAACCACTTTCTACCAAAGGAAAACAGTCCCCTTTTCTAACCCTCCACTCTGCTTTATGGAGGCAGAGTTCATTTGTACTTCTTGGGTTGCTGGGGTTAGAAAGGCAGTAGGTGAGACCAGCTCTCCAAGTCCCAGACTGCATAAAGGTCTGGAGTGCTTGGGAAGAGAAGATCCCAAAGTCAGACTTTGCTTAAAACTGGTAGTGCTGATACCCTGTTGGAAATGGGCTCACTACATAGTTATTGAATGAATGAAGTGAGCCAGTTTCCTTATTTGTAAACTGAGGGGTTTGGATTAGACTGGAGATCAATTATCTGAGTCTCCACCAATTGTTTCACTGGGAAACTGTGTGAAACTATGGCAGTCCCTTCTTCTTTCTGGGCCTCAGTTTCCCACTTAAACTCAATGTAGAGGATGAACAAGGGGGTTTCTAAGGTCTCTCCCAGCTCTGTCATTCTTATAATGTCTCTCTTTTCCATCACTTTCAAGTCTAGTCTCTGTCACTGCCTGGCTATGTGACCCAACTCTACCAGCCCTTTAAGGTTCCTCACCAGTAACAAAGGGGAGAGAAAAGGAGAGTAGGACTGTATTGTTGTTAAGGTGTTTACCAATTTCCATATGTTTGTAACACGGTGGTCATCTTTTGGGGGCATCCATTCTGATTCAACCAGTAACCAACTTCTCATTTTGTAAAGCAACTGTTTTTCCTCTTCAGATAGCTCTAAAAAATCCAATCTTAACCAGTCCACCCAACTCTAATGACCTATATATAATCTTTTCCAATTTCTGCTGTCGCAAAATGCATAGACACTGGTAAAAATTTGATTTTAAGTGAAAATTCAGTCCTGATGTGAAAACTCCTACTGTTATCCAGATAAAAAATATTCCACTCTTGTAGGCAATACACATACACAAACTATATTTTTAGATCAGTTTATTTTGTTCCAAACCCCTTGAGGATTTAAATGTCCCAGGTCTCAAGCTTCCAAATTTTGTTCATTTTCCTAGATTTAGTTGTGGTGCATGAATGCTGCCTCCTACACTAAATATTAATACTGTGCTGCTTTTGCCAACCAGCGTTCTCCAAAAGCACATGAGCCCACATGTGCACAGGCACATGTGGAAGAACTAAACTGATACCCCCACATTATGTGACATCTGAATGGGCAGATTTGAGACCTGTCAATGTCTTTCCTTGTTCTGGAGAGAAGTGGGGTACAGCCTGATTCTTAAGAGCTATCTGCACCATGATCAACAAAGGAGGCACAGAAGAACCACTCTCTTGTGACATAGTGGATGTGAGGCAGAGTGAAATGGAAGCAGGGGCTTTGGTGCTCCAGCATTACAATAGTCTTTCCTGGGAGTTACAGAGTTTCTGGGGCTCAATTTCTCCTGATTCACTGATGTTTGGACTGACAGGATAGTAACTGGGTCCCTTCTCATCCACAAAGCCAAGAATCAGTGAATTTTCCTTTGAGTTGATAAGAGCTGGACTGGGACCAATGTAGGGGGCTCAGGACTTTGGCCTTTAATGAAATCATCAGGGGTCAAACATGCCCCAGCTGCCTATATGTAACGGAAAACAAACAAAAAACAAACAAACATGAGTGTGTGAACCATTGTCCTCTTTGGAGCCCCTCAGGAGCAACCTTATACTCCTGCCCCAGGATGGCCCTGGCTTGGGGTGGCAAGTCACTGTTGGCTCCTAGTGACATCCAGGGATGTCTGGAAAAAAGATGATGAAAGGTTGGCGGTGATTGGAACAAACAAAGGGTCAGAGAAGAGAGAAAGAAAAGCTAAGTGTCAAAGTGAAGAAAGAGGCTGAGTCCCTAATGAGTTGAGCTGTGCAAGTTATATACAGCTTGGCAGTACTCTCCACCCCTAGCCAGGGGCACTGGAAATGCACTTCAGCAAGACTGCTGTTACCTAGAGCTTGAGGACAGAGAAGCAGCTGGAACCTACTTCAGAGGGAAGAATATGGTCTGGAGTCCACTTTTCCTGTCATCTTTCTTGCCTGATGGACACGTAGAAACCTTCTAAACAGAGTGACCCAGAGTGTTCAGTATTAAAGACACACTGGGGAATAAAGGCATCCCTTTCCTAAAACAAATTGTCCAACTCTATATGTAGCTGCTGCCTGTACCATTTTGGGATCAAGGTTGGGAATGGGATGTTTCCTAAAGCAGTTCCTTCCTTAACCCAAGTGGAAATATTGACATGCCATGAGTAATGAGGAGTCCTGGTATGGCACTGTGGGCTAATACACTGGACTGCAAAGTCAGTTTGAACTGCAAGGTTGGCAGTTTAAGCTCACCAGTCGCTTCTTGGAAACACTATACAGGGTCGCTATGGGTCGGAACCAGCTCAACAGCATTTAACAACAGCAACAAAATGAGTAATGAGAAGTGGAATCACTGGTCCTTCACTATGTCAATAACTAGTGTCCTTCGCCCCACCATGTCCTTGTCTTCAGTCCTTCTGTGCCTGCTGAGATGAAAAGGTTTTCTTCACATTTTGACAGGGAGATGCAAGGGTAGGAAGCTATGAGGGCCTTCATGTTAATGCATTAACCTGAACAGTCTACATAACTGATGAATAAAACTCTATGCCATTTAAGGTCCCTTCCCAATATGATATTCTACTTTTCCAGTCTATAATTCTATCAGCTTGAGCCAAAAATGAGATGTGGCTCAGCCTGAGATGAATGGGATTTATGCTAGTATCAGGGGTAGGGACAAGGTGAGGTTAATTGACTTAAGCTCTGGGTCTCTCCTTTTACCAAATATCCATGTGTCTATGACAGTCATAAAAAAAAAAAAAAAAAAAGAGGAGGCAGTAAAGGAAAAAAAAAGAAAGAAGGAAGCAGACTATTAACCAGTTGTATTATGGCGAGCCTGCCTGTACATTTGTAAAATAATGACACCCACAAATCATTTGAAACCACAGCCTTCAGAGAGTCTATGGCTAAACAAAATTTCTTGTTTCATTTTGTTTCACCAACAATCCCCCTGTAACTCCTCTGCCAACAGCTCCCAAGGATAGATGGCAGTAAACTCCTCAGAACACAGAGGCTAAGTTCTCCCCACTAGACTCCTAGGGACACAGTAGCACCTTTAAGAATTATTTTTAGTAGGTGACTAACAAGCCTGGGCCAGGAGGTTCCATCCCCTTCTTTCTCCAGGGGTTAGAAAATATATGAAATTCCAAAGGCCAGGAGATGATCCCAAGCTTCCCCATATCCTGAGTGGAGAAGGTACCTGGCAAGTTTAAAGGCATTCAAATTTTGGTTAATGACATTGGAACACCTAGAGTCTTGGCTCCAAGGGGATGGACAGGTGACTGAAATGTTATGTGCATAAGTTTGGGGATAAGTGTGCTGGTGGCAAAAATGTAAATGTTGAGCAGAGCGAGGTGAAGGGGAAAGGCTGGGGAGGAGCACACAATGGCAGGAAAGTGACATTAGATGGGTTCCTCAGGGGTGGGGGATCCTGGAAGCAGTTCCCCATTGGGGTCCGGGTCAGGAGCCAACATCTTGTCCTTGCTGGAATCTCTCTGCTCTTTCTTGAACATCCTTTGATGCATCAGGGGGACGAAGAAGAGGATTATAGCCCCAATGATGGGGGGCACACCAGCAAAGTAGAAGGCCACATGGTAGTCCCCAAAACAGTTGCGGAGAAGGCCTGCAACAGTCAAGAAAGACAAGTCAAGCTCAGTTTCACCTTGCTACCTAAACGTGCTTTCTGCTTCTTGTAGGGGCCATTACAGTTCCTCTCCAGAGAATCTTGACCTGCACTTCCTTGACTCAGGAGCTCTCTCAACTCAAACACTCCTAGAAGGCAGAAATAAAACCTCTAATATGAGGGTTGGTGATCCTAATATTCATTATGAAAGAAGCTAATGAAACTTCTCTTAAATTTTCTCCATTTGTGACTTTCCTACTACTACCGCTAATTTCCAGTCACTCCAAGGCATCGAGTTAGGAGAGAACTTAGTTTAAAAGTACTCCACAGAAGATGATTGTTGTATTAAATTTTGTGCCCCTTAAATATGTTCAAATCATAACCCTTATGTTTGTAAATATGACCTTGTTGGAAATCGTAGTTTTCTTTTGTTCTATTAATGGGTTACACCAGAGTAGGATGAGCTCTATACTTAATCATTTCTGAGTTTTCAAAGGAGTACAATGAGTACAGAGTCATATACACACTGGGGGAAGACAGACAACAAGGAATGCCAAGAAGCACCAAGAAACACAAAAGAATGGCAAGGATTGATGGTTGTCAACAGAAACTGAGAGGGATCCAGAGAAGGAATCAACATAGCTAAGACCCTGATTTAGACTTTTAGCCTCCAGATTGTGAGAAAACAAACTTTGGTTCTCTAAAGCACCCATTTTTAGTATTTCTGTTATGCCAGCACTAGGTAAACAAGACAATAGCTAAATCTTGTCTTGATGGTTCATAAAATATTACCTTTCTCTAACACCTCAACTTGGTGTTCTTGTTCAATAAAATAGAATTGTTCAATACAATAGAATTGTTCAATACAATAGAATTGTCATTTGCTTTAAGAGAGGATGTATCCTTTCTTTTGGTTATAGGTATGTTCAGCCCCCTTGGGATTCCTCCAAGCTACCAATACCATGGATGTATTTGTTATGGGATATAGGTCTCCCTTGCTTATCTCCAATAATCTAATGTAGGTCACCTCAGAAGTAGGATGAGCCCATAAACACTGGTCAGGAAAGGCAAGAAGACTCTTGGGCTTCTCAGGAAGTAAGCAAAAGGGAAAGACGTGTGGATTTTGGAGGTACTGTTGGGTTCAGAAACTAAGTAGCCTTCCTTCCCTAGTGGGCACTGTGGCTGTTTCCCATGGGAAATTAGGGAAGGCTCTTGTCACTGTCATACAACATGACCTTGTGCTTTCACAAGATCTTGCACAATATTTGTTGAGTTAACTAAACCAAGGAGACTAGCCCATGAGTTGATGTTTGCTATCAACCATATAGAAAAGAAATGAAATTCTCTTTTCATAGGTTTTTCCTTATTTCCTGTGTTCCCTGGAGGTACCTACAATGTTCTTCCTGCAGAAACTGTGAGTTCTGAAATATGTCAAGCCACCACTTTGCTTGCTACTTAATGGAGGTGATGAGAATCATTGACCCAGTCTTAGAGTCAGACTTTAATCAAAGCCTATTCACACTCAGTTTAGATCTAGTTTCTCTAAATCTTAATAAAACCAGTATCCACTTTGTCTTCTCTTCTTACCAAGTTGTCTTGTAAATAAGCACTTACCTGTGGAGACAGAAGATCAATATAATGGTCAAAACCCATTTTTTTTTCACTTACTCTCCTTGCAGTACCCATGTGATCTACAGTAAAACCCCATTGAAAAAGATACACAAACATTTAAAATCCATTCACTGAAATGAATCCATGCATGCATAAGTATATTATTGTGCGTAGCCTCTTCCACCAGTTGTGGTAAGGTGTTTCATGCACTCTGACAAAGGTTGCTTAAACAGAGAAAAGCAGGTCTTAGGCAGAGGTAGCCAGTAGAACTAGAGGCTAAGGAAGATATGCGTCCCCCACTTATGCCCTTCCTGGAATGTCTTACCTGCAATGGGGGGCCCAGCAATCATCGGCAGGGCCATCATTCCCAGAAGGTAACCAATGGCTTGTGAGGCCTGCATTGGGCCCACCAGTTCAAATGCGATGGGGGCCATAATGGTGATGAAGAAGCCATCACATAGGCCCAGGAAGAGGCAGACAATAATGAGGCCCCCGAAGCCCCGGCACAGAGGAATCATCATGGACATCAGGCCCAAGAGCAGGAAGGAGATGACCTGGAGGAGCAAGGGCCTGAGTTCATGCTATGCTGGTCAGTCAAGACCACATAGCAAATCACATCTCCCTTCACAGAGCCTCATTTCTACCATATATAAAATGAGGCAGAATGGTATCAACAGAGAGAGTAGTTGAAATAAATGGTGACTCAGGCACCTTCTAAATTTTGCACTGCTCAATTCAAAAGTCTTTAAGAGAGTCCCTATTTAACTGAGATGTTGTCAGGATTTTTCTTAAAATAGGGGTGTAGTGGAGTATGGGCCCTGGCCTTAAAATTTTTTTCTTTGCACCTAAAAAAAGACATTCTGGCATGGAGACCGTTGGGAGATTTGTACCTAGGTTTCTTATGCTCTGGGAGCCTTTGAACTTCACTGGGTACCCTAGTAGGACAGCAAATGGGCCTTTCAGGATAACCAAGCCATTGGTGTCTAGGGAATACAAAGCCAGCCCAGGGGCACTGCAAAATCATTAGGATTTCTTTGGGCATAACAAAATGTTTTCAAAACAAAGAAACTGTCTTTTCAGAGGTTAGTTTTTCCCTCTAAATAAAAGAAAGTACCACTGGAAACATAGAAATCTTTTGATAAAGTTCATTTGTATTCAATATTTGTGAACCAGACAGAAGACTTGAAATGTAGGCAGAAAAAGGAGCATCACTTCTCCCCTGCCTACAGCATCCAACAGAGTCAGGTTTTCCCAGAGTCACAGCTACAATCTAACCTGTTTACCAAGGCCCTAAAATTTTCTAATATTTTGCAGAGGCAGGCTAACTTATCCAGGAACACATGGAAGGAGTGGGAGGATCAAGGCTATTTCATGATCTAAAGATTTTCTGTTTTGTTGCTTGCAGTGGTTTGTGAGGTTTATTAGTTGGCTTTTAGAGAGGAGAAGAAATGCCCTGGCCATGACACCTGAGGAAATCTCCTTGTTGGGGGAAATTTCAACTTTACCTATGTTATTTGGGGGTAGGTAGGGGTCCTGGTGTGGCACTGTGGGTTAATGTGCCAGACAGCAAAGCTGTTTGAACTGCAAGGTCGGTGGTTCCAGCTCACCAGTTGCTCCTCAGAAACCCTATAAGGGTGTCTATGGGTTGGAACCGACTCAACGGCACTTAACAACAACAACAAGACAGAAGCTGAGCCATATTTTAGCACTGTATATTATATGCGTTGGACTGGTAATTGCAAGGTCCATAGTTCAACCTTACCAGCTGCTTTGAGAAACCCTATACAGGATTACTGAGTCAGAACAACTCGATGGTACTTAACAATAACAAACCATTATATAATACAAAGGACCACAATTAACTGATTTTAATGGACTCTAATTGCTACACCTGGAGTTCTGGTGTGGTGCTACAGGATAAGCAATAGATTACTAACCACAAGCTTGGCAGTTCAAACCCACCAGTTGCTTTCAGAAACCCTATACAGGTTCGCTATGAGTTGGAACTGACTCGATAGTACATAACAACAAGTGCTATACCTAGGGAGTGTGCCTGCTCTGTAGGTAAGCACTGAACCACAAGGTTGGCAATTGAAGCCCACTAACCTCTCTTTGGGAGAAAGTTGAGGCTGTCTGCTTCCACAAAGATTTATAGCCTTGGAAACCCTACACAGGGTCGCTATGAGTCTAAATTAACTTGAGAGTGCTTAACAACAACAATTGCTACCTATTGTATCTAGCAGTTTCTTAACATCCTCCAGGAGGCCTTGCTAAGGTTCTGAAATTGAAAATCTTTCTTGGAACTGACAATCAGGTCTCAAGAACTAGCTCAAAATGAGGCTGTCTTGCAAGTTGTCACCATTTTATTTTCAAACAGATGAACTGTCCTATCATCACCAACAGCAGTAACCTCAGGGTCTAGTACAATGGGCTTCTTGTGAGTGGCTCTTCAGAACCTGGAGCTGTGTACAGTTCTTTCTCTTGAGGCCTGTATGCCTACATTTGACCCTGGAAAAAAAGAGGGCAGGCAATTTTTTGTGTCCATTGTGAAAGCAAACCAAAACAAACCAAACCCACTACCATTGAGTTGGTTCCAAATCATAGTGACCCTATAGGGCTGAGGAGAACTACTCCATTGGGTTTCCAAGACTATAAATCTTATGGAAGCAGACAGCCTCAACTTTCTCCCAAAGAGAGGTTAGTGGGCTTAAATTGCCAACCTTGTGGTTCTTAGTTCAGTGCTTACCTACAGAGGGGGTTCAAACCACCAACCTTGCAGTTATCAGCCCAGTGCTTACCCACTGCACCACCAGGACTCCCTTCATTGTGAAAGTCCATCCCCAAATTCCTGTGATGAAATCTTAAGGAGTTCAGGAGAAATAAGTTAATCTTTCAGCCTATGTTCTCAGCCTGAGACAGTCACTAGCAGGATTAGTTTGTACAAGTTGCTTTCCACGTCTGGGTCTCAGCTCTCCATTTTGTAAAATGAAGGACTTAGACTACAAGTTGATGAAGATATGTTTAAGCTATAATGTTCTAAGATTATTTTTATATGATTTTAACTAGTAAACTTGATCAGATAAGAGTGGAAAAGAGGAGTGGGGAATAGATGAGAGGGAATGGTTAGCAGAAGCATTAGGCCCAAAGTCTAGCTAATGCTTCCCCCTCCCTTGGAGCACCCCTCTGTACAGTAGAAAGCAAAGGCTGCTCAGAACCTACTTATTTCCTAGAGACTTTTGTGAGAATAAAATGAGCTATATGGCTATGTAGAACCTCTGTCTCACCTCAATATAAAGTCCTGACCCAAAGCCACCTCACCTTGATTTTTAGAATACTTTGTCATCTTGGAGCTGCTGATATTGGAAAGGAAAACCTACAGAGGTGGTATGTAGAAAAGGCCAAGAAAGCCACAATTATGAACAAAGCCACCGAGAGAAGGTAGGTACTTGCTGATACCTACTAGAAACTCAAATGTTCATCATTGGTTCATCTCAATCACAGTATCTTTGTTTGATCTTGATTAAGTCACTTTTGATCTCTGGGACTTGTCTCTGCCATCTATCACTTGGTGGTGGTTATGTGCCATAGAGTCGGTTCCAACTCATAGTGATCCTGTATAGGGATTCTGAGGTTGTAAATTTTCATGGGAGCAGAAAGCCTCATCTTTATCCTGTGGAACAGCTTGTAGATTAAAACTGCTGACTTTTTGGTTAGCAGCTCAGCTCATAATCCACTATGTTACCAGAACTCCTATCACTTAGGTACAGTGGAATATGAGAAGAGTATTGCATAAGTATTCTGTCACTACTGGTTGTGTGAGCCTTTCCTTCAATATCATGAGAGGTTGGGATGAATGAACCATAAGAGTTCCCCTAGCTTGCACAAAGCAGATTCACCAAGTCCTGTAAACCTAACACAGAGTTAAACACAAAAAAAAATCTTAATCATATCCTTGGCCAACACATCTGAAAGTTATTTGTTAAAGCACTGAAGGCTTTCCTTCTGTGAGTGTAGTCAGGTCCTTTGGAATGATTTTACTGCTTTCCCAGAAGAACAAGTGACTCAGAACTCAACCACTTTCCTGATGGATTATTTGTGACCATTTGTTTTCTAGCAATGCCTTTATCCCACTACTAAATTCCCTAGTTGGTCACCTCCTAATATGCCCAGCTGCAGAAGCAAAAAGCATGAGCCAAGTTGTTGTTGTTGTTAAGTGCCATCAAGTCGGTTCCAACCCATAGCGACCTTGTATAGGGTTTCTGAGGAGCAGCTGGTGAGATAGTAAAGATAAAAATGATTCCTGTTGCAAAATGAGGAAAAAAGCCTAAAGACAGGAAGTGAGGCTTGGCCTTTTCTGGCTATTTGTGTGTTTGTGTCCATTGATAGAAAAGTGTTTGGGAACAAGTAACTCTGGAAATATGGTGATGAACCTAGGTTTGGAACTGTAAGAGACAGGTACTGGGCCATAGAGGATTACAGATGCCCAAGACCCTCTAACAGAGTCTAAGATAGCAATTAGATCAGTTCTCACTGGAGACAGCATCTAGATCCTGGCCTCATGTTCTCTGTTACAGATGGAAGTTAAGAAAAACGTCTTTTTAAAGTATTCTAAATGGATCTGGAGTCCCTGGGTAGAACAAATGGTGAAGTGTTGGGCTACTAACTAAAAAGTTAGTGATTCAAACACACCCAGAGATGCACCAGTAGAAAAGCATACTAATCTTCTTCCAAAAGATCACAGCCAGGAAAACTATATGGAGGAAAATTCTACTCTGACATACTTGATTCTAGCCTTGAGCTAGAATCAATATACTTGATGGCAATTAGTCAACTAGTTTTGTTTATAAGAGGTCCCATACACACTGCTATCACACACTCCATCTTGGCGAGGGAGGGCAGAACAAGGATGATCATTTCCATTTGAATGCAGAGAAAATTGAGGCTCAGAGAATTTGATTGACTTTCCCATGTCACACAATAAGCTGATGTCAGAATTGGGGCCCAGGCCAGGACACCGTTGTTGCACATCCTACCACGTTATTCCAAGATCTGGGGATAGCCTAGCTTATGTAGCGGGCTGTTCCTCCCAACAGTAGACATGATGGCCACACTCACCTGCAAGTAGATCTTCTTAAGTCCAGGAATGGAGTCGCTGATACGGCCTGATACAAGACGTCCGAGGCCTGAAGTAGCCCCAATACACACCAAGAGCACCCAGGTCTCCTTGATTTCTGAGAACTCCTCTTCCACATATTTCATCTGAAAAGCATAGCACCAGATCCCCAAAGGCAGGAGGAGGAAGAAAAGCTAACTGGTTAACTAATGGCATATTCCAAACACTCAACTACTTACTTTCCTAGACTAGGACGAGAATCCTCTACTCTGTAGCCCTAATTCCAAGACAATGTTTCTTATTGCTTTCAACAATCTAAAAGGCTGCATAGGCCTTCCTTGGTTACCTGGATTCTGAGCTTCTAAGCAGAAACTGAAAGAGAGTAGAGTATCTACAAGCCCCTTTCAAGCCCTGGCAGAACAGAACACAGTCCTAACAGGATAAAATCCAAGGGTTTATCGACAATTTCCCTAATATCCTAACTGTAACTGATAATCTGGGGCAACAGCTGGTCAGCAGAGAAGAAGGATTCACTAATATCCAGGAAACTCTTCCAAAAGTATATTCTAAGAAACACAAGATCTGTAAAGAACAACAATGGGCTTTCAATCAAGGGTTGTGTGGCCAGATAAGTTTGGTAAATGCTGGGTTAAACAAAGCTGAATGGGTTACTTTACTGCAGGATATTTTAGAACCTGTAATCAATTACTGTGCATTGTGAAGCTCTAAGGGAGCTAGAGAGAGACTAAACAAAATCATCTGGTCACAAAAACCTTAGAAAACCCTATCCTTGGGTCATCTGGGCCAGTCCCTTGCATCTAGACAATGCTTACTCCTAAAAATCTATCTAGATTTATCATTCGCTTGAGGAATTCCCTCCATTTCCCTTTAAGGCACTCCTTCACCGTGTGTCTTTCTCCTCCCTAGCTCTCTCCAAACAGTTTCTCCAAAGATGTAGCTCTGCACTTTTAATATCCCCATCCCACCCTCTCGACTGGATAAAGGTTGATGGTAACTTCCTGAGGCCATGTGGGATGGGCATGGGCCCACCCTCATATTCCTCACCAGGTGTACATAGGGAATGAAGTAGCCAAGGGCAGCAGCAGCAATTCCGAAGGCCCAGATGCGGTAGGTACGTTGGCGGAACACTCTCATGTTGAAGTACTTTCTGAGCTGAGCCAGAAATCGTTGGTGCAGGGTGTGGACACCCCTCTTGCTTGGGGTGTCCTGGGAGCTGGGCAGGAGGGGTCGGTAGGTGAGTGAAAGCAGCATGAGAACAAACATAAAGGTACTCAGCACCTGGAAGGTTTGGGCCAACTTGATCTTGTCCCCCAGCATATTGATGAGGAAGGGAAAAGACATGGAGAAGATGCTACTCCCAGCAGACACCACACCATTGGCCAGACCCAGGCGGCGTTGGAAATAGTGACCCAGGATGACGAGAGATGGCTGAAAGGCGAAGGAACAGCCACAACCAAAGAGAATCCCATAGGTGAAGTATCGCAGGCTTAGGGAGCTGTGGAGGAGACACCAAGAACTGTTCTCAACAGCCTGACCAGAAATCCACCTGCCCTTCTCTCTTCAGACCTCCACCCTCCCACCCTCAATCCTACCAACAGCCCTACCAGCCACTAATTCTCAGAGAAGACAAGGAACAGGATCTTCTGATGCCCATTTTATAAATGGAGAAGCAGAGGCTTAGAGAGGTAAAATATTTGCCCATGGTCACATAACCATGGATCAACAAAGTTCAGACTTGAATTCAGATCTGTGTGACTCTAGTATGCATTCTATAGCATCCCATCAAAGAGAATTGTTCAAAAGAAAGTCAGAACAAGCCTATGCAAAGGATAAATACATGAGGGCTACAGAGAGCAAGTCAGTGCCTCAGAGAGAACAGTTTCACCTCCTTGTTCACCTAGACTTGTATCAACCATAGCCAAAGCCACAGCCACTGTCATCATGGGTGGGCTGGTGGCTACAGCTTTATCAAAATCAACAATAAAAAATTGCAAATATCCAAGATCCTGTAAGGCTGAGATCCTCTGTAGAACTCTTCTATGTTTTTTTTTTTTCATGCTCATTGTTATTAGAGAACTGGCTTATTGTTTCTTGTGAGACAACCCCCTGGGGATCCTGAAGTAAGGAGTCCCTTTAATTTCTGGATCCCTGCCTCTGTTGCTGATCATGGATTAGCTTCCCAGAATAGGCTAAGACTGAGGGAGCCAGAATGTCTGCTTGATGGGAAGTGGAGCCTCAAAGAAGCCAAGTAATACAGCTCTTGAGTTAAAACTCTTAGACCCTTATGGTATGGCCATAAGGCTCTGTAATAAATGGCAACATTTGAGAATGGAAAATGTCATGAGAAGGTCAGCTTGGTCAGCCAAGCCTCCAGACAATATTGAAGGTCAGTGGCTCAAACCTCATCAACTGTTCCTTAGAAACCATATTCAGGGACACTATGAGTTGGAAGTGAATGGATTGCACTTAACATCAACAATGAAGAATTTATTTTCTTTTTGATGCCTCCACATGTTTCACAATAGACCTTGTCTACCCACTTAATTATTTACTACTTTCCACGGTCAATGAAGGAGCCCTGGTAGTGTAGTGGGTTATGCATTGGGCTGCTAACTGCAAGGTCAGTAGTTCAAATCCATCAGCTGCTCCATAGGGGAAAGATGAGACTTTCTGCTCCTGTAAAGATTTACTGCCTTGGAAACCCTACATAGGGTTGCTATGAGTTAGAATCAACTCACTGGCACACAACAATCACCACCTGTGGGACTGTGGTCAAGAAGTGCTGGTGGCATTGTGGGTTAGGCTACTAACCATATGGTCAGCAGTTCAAATCCACCAGCATCTCTGTGGGAGAAAGTTGAAGCTGTCTGTTCTGTAAAGATTTACAGTCTTGGAAACTCTATATAGGGTCACTATGAGAATCGACTTCATGGCAGTGGGTTTGGTTTTCAGTTTTCCATGGTCAAGTAGTTCTTCTCCATGGACAGATCCAGTTCTCAATGTGATGCTTTCAAGACATCTCTCCTTACCATGTTTACTCAAGTTTCCGAGACATCTTGCCTTACCATTGCTCTCCATCTGCTTGCACTAAGTGGATATGAGCAAGGGCCTTGGATTCCAAAGGATTGCCTCCACTTGGAAAACGTAATAAGTAACTCCTTTTCTATCAGGTTCCTTGGAGCCTGTTCACATTAGATTCTTGAAGTACCCTTTGAGATTGAACTAGGCTGGGGACCTTGTCTAAAGCAGAGGAGTTAAAGCTTTGGGAAAGGGGCTGGTCAGTGGGGAAAAAACATGGAATTCAGTTAAGGGTGCTGTGCATTAGATTGATTTCTATCTCCTGTCTCCAGGACAGGAGAACCCTGAGTTGAGCTTGCCAAAGCATCATTACCCTGCCTACACTCTGCCCCACTCCAAACTGATCCCTGACTCAGACAACTGGAAGGATGTCTTGGAGTCACAAGCAGAACCACTTTTCCACTGCATATGCAGTCATCCAGAAAGCTTCTTGACTTGGAAGATGTTCTTACAAAAAGAGCAAAGAGGATGAGGAGGGAGTTAGGGGCGGGAGAACAGAACCCATACTCCAGTGTACCTAAAGAAGAGGGTCAGGAGAAAACATATCTGAGTTATTTCTCCTCCTGTAACTAAACTCATGTGGATTGGAAAGAAAATGGGATCCATATGCTGCTAATCTGTTTATATGAGTACTTGGCTCTACTCAATCACACAAAACAGTCTCTGGTGTGTAGTGGGACTGAAGCCTCTTCATAGGTCTAGTTCCTTCCCACAAGGAACTAGGCACCAGTGGGCAAATGAAGCTGACCACTGTTATTGTCATGTACCATCAAACCAGTTCCAACTCATAGTGACCCTGTATAGGGTTTCTGAGAGTGGCTGGTGGGTTCAAACTGCTGACTTTGCGGTTACCAGTCCAGTGCTTATTCTACAATGATACAGTAGGGCTCAAGCTCACCAATGAGGTGGGGTGGTTATGTGCCTTGGAGCCGTGGAGTCAATTCCGCCTCACAGCAACTCTGTACAGGGTTTCCGAGGCTGTAAATCTTTACGGGAGCAGTAAGCCTCATCTTTCTCCTGCGAAACAGCTGGTAGTTTTGAATTGCTGACCTTGCAGTTTGCAATCCAATTCATAACCACTATGCTACCAGAGCTCTTTCAAGCTCACCACTAGAGGAGTCCTAAAAAGATTTTGAGCTCCTTCCCTGGGAGGGCTGAGGGAATTCCAGCCAAGACATGGTTTTTCCATTCTCTATCAATTGGATGGAACAGTGCCAAGAAATCATTGCAGGCTAAATCCATGTTCTGCTGGAGGCAGAGTGTCTGGAAATGCTCAAGTCTTAAAGAAAGCTGGCTCACCCTCACAGGATTCAGTTGTGGCAAAACACAATTAACATTCTCCACTGTTATTTTTCTTTTCTGGGGAGCCAAGCTTAAATCAAGTCTCTGACAAGTTAGTGCTACCCTAATTCCAGACATATAACTATGGTCATTCTCATATCTCTAGGCCTGTATTTTTCATACATCAGCTCAAGCAAACTAGAAGTTATTGTTGTTGTTAAGTACTATAGAGTCAGTTCTGACTCATACAACCTTGCATAGGGTTTTTGAGGAGTGGCTGCTGGATTTGAATTGCTGACTTTGAGGTTAGCAGTCCAATGCTTCTCCTACAGTGCCACACCAGTACTCTCAGATTGGAAGTAGGAGATACCCAAACTTCCAAAGTCAACAGAGAATCAACAGAGTTGTTGTTTAACATTTTATTATGATTTGGGTGAAAGTTTACAGAGTAAATTGCTTTCCATTCAACAATTTATATTCATTTTGTTTCCTCACACTAATTGTAATTCCCACAATGTAACAGCACTCTTTCCACTTCCTGCCTATGTTTCCCATTTTCATTTATGCTTCTTTCCTATCCCTTCCCGTCTTCTGAGCTTTATCTCTGGGCAATTCTGCCCTTTTGATATCCTATGGTTGCTTGTTCTAAGCAGTGTGTTATCGTTCACCTTATACTCCTGTCTATTGTTTGACTGAAATTTGAGCAGGGGGTGTAATTCAGTTCCAGGCTTGAAGGGTGAGTAAAGGCCATAGACTTGGGGGCTCCAGTCTCTGTCAGACCAGTAAATCTGGTCTTTTATATGATTTTGAGTTTTCTATAGTTTTTTTTTTTTTTTGTGGGGGGGGGGGGGAAATCCCACATTCCACAGGCTGTAGGATTTTTTTAACCACCCTCTCCCCTACAGACATGCTTCTGCAGAATTGGCAGAAAAAAAAATAGAAAACAGAAATTTTGAGTGACTTGCTCTTCATCTTACTATTCCAAGTTCTGCACTTGGGACTAGGGTTTGAGTTTGACCTAGGCCTAGCTGGGTAGCTGGTTTCTGAGTCTGTACCTCAGTGAGGGACATTGTTAAAGATCCTTTTTCATGCCCAAGACATGAATATTTGATCCAAATCTCCTTTGCATTGGCAAACAGAAATGCTTGGAAAATGGCCAGAAATTCTAAACATCCTTAGGATTAACAGTCCTCTTTCGCATCCTAAGATTCCCTTGGGAATCATGGATGCTAGCTGTTCCAATAGCTCAACTTGAGAAACTCATTTCCAGGAAGGAAGGTGAGGCCATGAGATGTATGGCATATTGGAGAAAAACAGAATAGCAGGGTTGTAAGAAACCTGAAAAAAACATATGGTCCAATCCCCTCAAGTTACAGATGTAGAAACTGAGCCCCAAAGAAGGGAATGGCATTCAGTGGGCAAAGCTGAACTTGAGTCCAATTATACTAACTAAAAAAGCTTCCTAGAATTTTACTAAAACAAAGGGTTCCCCCCAACACTTTGAAGCTCTTGGGTCTTCTTTGAGGATATTCCCTAATAATTTATGCTAAGGACCCTGTCTAGATGAGTCCTATGGACAATGAATCCTGGAGCAGGGACTTTAAGGATTCTACATGTTGAGGGTCACAGGGGATCTTCAATGCGAATACTCTCTTTAGCTTAAGTCCAGAAAAAAGCCAACCCTCAACCTTGGGAAAATGGCCAGTGACCCCTAGCCTTACCTGGTGAAGGAGCTGGTATGGAGACCAATGAAAGCAACAGCAGCACCTGTGGTAGCTGTGATTCGACAACCCAAACGGTCAGTGAATATACTCACGATGGGAGAACAGAAGAAGATCATTCCCATTGCAAGGGCTCCTACCCATGCTGTGGAGACAAGAAGCACAAAGACACTTTTCAGAAGCATAACATTGGACTGAACTGCCAGAATGTTCATCCCTAATTGTCAGGTAAGGTGACTTTCAAACTGCCTGAAACAGGACGTGTGAGAACTTGGAGTCCAGTTCATTAACATACCTAGAATTTCAGAGCTGGGGCAAGGGCCTTTAGAGATCATCAATTCTGTGGCAGACAACTGTTTTGTATGGCTGAGCAGAGCAAAGTGTAAACAAATTAACTAGTCACTAAAATAATTTTTTTAACCTGGCATACAGCTATATTACATTTCTCAGGATCTTTAGAAGTTTAGTATGACCATGTGACTGACTGAATTCTGACCGGTGGATAGAAGTGATATGCACCAATTCCAGGTTTGGATCATAAAAACAAAGCTTCCCATGAGTTTTTTTTTTTTTTTTTTTTTTTGTCCTCCTATAAGCTACAATTGTAGAGTGCCTTGAAAGCCATGTATTGATACTGGCAGAACTGCTATTAGTATTGGCTGGGTCCTTGAAATTACATGGGGAACAGATTCCCCTCTCTTGCCAGTCTGGAACCCCAACTATGCATGTTATATGAGAAAGAAATTTCTTGGTTTTAAAGCCACTGAAGTTTTGATGACTGTTTGTTACAACTTCTGGTGTAGGATCAGCACTAGACTGCAAACCACAAGGTCAGCAGTTCAAACCCACCAGTCGCTCCTTGGAAACCTTATGCAGGGTTTCTATGAGTTGGAACCAACTAGATGACACTTAACAACAACAAATTTGTTACAGCTGTTAAATCAACACAAATTAAGATGGAGAGACTCCTCCATGACCATTTTAATGATGAAGAAACTGAGGTCCAGAAATGTGAATTAACTTGCTAAAGATCACACAAGTGGCAGAGCTGGAACTCAAACCCAATTAACTATATTCTACTGGGAGAAGTAAAGCTTCTTATCACTGGATGTGTGAAAGCAGAGGCTATATATAAAACAGTATTCAAGGCACTGGAATAATAATTGGACTAAACAACAATTCAGGCTCTTTTAGGAACACTAAGCCAGATCCATAGCTTTAGGACCTTGTCTTCAGGAGCAAGGAACATGGAAGTTAACCCTTCAGGAGCTCAGGTCAGGTTTGTCTTGGTCACTGGAACAGTTTAGTAAAGAAGCTAACAAGAAAAAAAGCTTCCTAGAATTTTACTAAAACAAAGGGTAGCATCTGGAGCCACCCAGAATTTTTTGAGGAGTCTGTGCAAAAGAGTCATGCTGAAATTCTTTATCAGAGCCTATCTTTGCCAAATCCATGACTCCAGACTTAAATAAGATTTTTTAAAAATTTTTAATTTTTTATTGTGTGATAATTTACATGGGGGAACATTAGTTTTACATTTATTCTATCATACATCATTTCATTGCCATAGTTACCATCCCATACATGCATCATCACCCAACCAAAGGGTATACCCCGCAGCCGCCCCCCTCCCCCCACGGTACTCAGCACACAGCCCCCTTCCCTCCCTGGATCTCAAGTCCTCAGCCACTCCATCTCTCCGTGTCATCCTCTCTGTCTCCATCTCAGGCCTCACTGCTTCTCTGGGTGGGGTCCTGATCTCTGCTCTTCTCCAGTGATGGTCCCAGGGGCCTTTGCTCCTAGACTGAAAGGTTAATCACTCCCCTCCTTGATATAAAATATTCACCTTTACATTTCTAGTCATCACAATCAGTCCTGATAACAATTATTCGCCCTTGCATCACAAGAGACCCATCTGCATTTGAGACTCTACCATCCTCCCCACCCTGTTGATCTAGGCTCCCTCTTGAAAGCTTGGAAGCCAGTCACTTCTTACCTTTGTATCCCTCTCCCCCATTTTGGGTAGCCAATGTTCAAGTTGCCCATTCCTATACTGGACACATTGTAGCCCCTTTTTAGGTATTCCAATCAGTTTTAGGCAGAAGACAGACTTACAAGCTTTCTATGGTGATATTTCTGGCTATTCCTTTCTCTACTCTCCCGTGACTGTTTTATAATATAATGCATGAAAAACCAAGGTTCAAAAGTCAGCCAAGCATCTTAACATTATTGCCCCCTTTTCCCCATTCCAACCATGTCCCAGTCTCTGTATCCCAGAGCCCTGTTTTTCCAAGGCTGTGTCTACATCATTTATTACCTCTGTCCCATTTAGCTCATTCCTACCTGTCTAATTGTTCTCCCGTTTGCATTGTTCTTCGATTCCCCTATCCCTACTTGTATATTGCCCCCCTCCCCAACACCCAAATTATCCTGTGACTATTCCCTGCCCTGTGCTCCACCCTCCCCTCCTATCCTTAACCCTACCCCTACGCCTTAGCAACCTGTTAAGAATCCACTTTAGTGGAATAGTATGGGTTCTTTTTCTTAGTCTTTTACAGTAGTGGTCCTATGCAGTAATTTTTCCTTTTGTGATTGACTAATTTCACTCAACATAATGTTCTTAAGGTTCATCCATGTTAGGAAGTGGCATGCAGCTTCCTTGTTATTTTTCAAGGTAGCATAGTACTCCATTGTGTGTATGTACCACAGTTTTTTTTATGCATTCGTCAGTTGATGGGCACGTTGGCTGTCTCCATCTTTTTGCTATTGTAAATAGTGCAGCTATGAACATTGGAGTGCATATATCTTCCCGTGTTGTGGCTCGTTTTTCTGATGGATAAATACCAAGTAGAGGAATTGCTGGATCAAATGGTATTTCTATTTTCAACCTTCTGAGGAAGCACCATATTGCTTTCCATAGAGGTTGGACCATTTTGCAGTCCCACCAGCAATGCAGGAGTGTCCCAGACTCTCCACATCCTCACCAGCATTTATTGTCCTCAACTTTTTGATCTTTGCTGTTATTGTTGGTGTGAGATGATATCTCATTGTTGTTTTGATTTGCATCTCTCTAATGGCTAATGATCATGAACATTTCTTCATATGTTTGTTGGCTGCCCGGATCTCCTCCCTGGTGAAGTATCTGTTCAAATCCTGTGACCATTTCTTAATTGGGTTGTTTGTCTTATTTTTGTAGATGTGTAGCATTTTCCTATATATTTTAGAAATTAGTCCCTTATCTGATATGTTGTTGCAAAATATTTTTTCCCAGTCTGTGGGTTCCCTTTTTACTCTCTTGGTGAAGTCTTTTGATGTGCACAAGTTTTTAATTTTTAGTAAGTCCCACTCGTCTATTTTGTCTACTTTTGTTTGTGTACTTTTCAAAATGTGTGGCAGTCTGTATATGCTCTGGATTAGTGCCCTCATGTTTGTCCCTATTTTTTTCATTGATGATCTTCATAATTTTGGGATTCACATTTAGCTCTTTAATCCATGTTGAGTTCATTTTTGTTTAGGGTGTAAGACAAAGGTTTTTTTTCAGTCTTTTACATATTGCTTTCCAGTTCTGCCAGCACCATTTGTTGAAGAGACTGTCACTTCCCCATGCAATGTGCCTAGGCACTTTGTTGAAGATCATTTGGCTGTAAGTGGTTGGGTTGATATCTGGATTCTTGATTCTATTCCATTGATCAATGTCTCTTTCATTGTACCAGTACCAGACTCTTTTGATCACTGTAGCCACGTAGTAAAGTTTGAAATCAGGGCATGAGAGACCTCCAACCTTCTTCTTCCTTTTAAGCAGTGCTTGGCTTATCCTAGGTCTCTTTCCTTTCCATATAAAATTAGTAATTGTCTTTTCCATCTCTGAATAATGTTGTTGGAACCTGGATTGGGATTGCATTGTAAGTGTAAATTGCTCTGGGTAGTATTGACATTTTCACAATGTTGAGTCTTCCTATCCAGGAACATGGTATGTTCTTCCACTTCTGTAGGTCTCTTTTGGTTTCTTGTAGTAGTG